GATCGATTGCGGCTAGGATTGAGGTACGAAGTCACGGAGTTCAGGCTCCAGGGGAATGAATGCTTTTTAAGCTCAGGTTGCTGTTCGTGCTTCAGTCTTCAGTAAGTTATATATATGATTTTTGGTCCCCTAATCTTGCTTCTTCATTCAATCTGTAATAATTTCATATCTCTAATAATTTGAAATCTTATTTTCTTTTGCTATACTGGGTGGATGAGAGTTGAGGACAAATTTTCTTGTTGGTTGTGGGAGTTTTCTCTACAGTAGCTACGGGATCTTTTCTTGCTTCAAGGCCAGCTATTCTCTTCTTGTCACAACCTTTTGCTGAATGTAAGTTATACGATTTTTGGTCCTATTTTGGTGAATACATTGGCTCTGTTTGCTGAATGTTGTGGTGTGCAATTTTAGACCAGCAATTCTCTTCTTGTCACATATGTCATGTTGAGTGTTGCTTAGTCTTGAGAAGGCTTTCTGTTATCTTAATGCCAATCTGATTCTATGCCCCAATCCCATGACTTTGTAGGATTAAAGTCAGAGCATCTTTGAGTTGAACATTCTATTTTGCTGAATCTGATTCTATTCTGCTGAATGAGTAATATTCTTCTTATCTTAGAGCATCTTTCTTCCCACTAACAGCGTGTCTTCGAGTTGAACATTAATTCAACTTTTCCCCTTAAATGCGTTCTCACACAAATGATTTCCTAATAATTTTAAGTTAATTCCTACTTTCTTAAATTGACTCTAAATGATACACACACATATACGCTTCCTTATCTTCTCACATTTAAATCCATCCCTGTTGTTGTTTTTCTTTTTTGGCCAACAAATCCATCCTTGTTGTTATCGTTGTTTCAGCATACACCTTTTTAAACGCAATAGGTATTTTAGGCAGAATAACGTTAATTTTTTGGATAGAATTGGTGAATATGTCATCATATGCTGGAAATTAATGAATTATGGTGTCTTTTCTTATCCTTAGTGCAATTTTATTTTTGGACTTGACTTGATTTGGTTGTTGTTGGGATTAAGTTGAGAAGAATCTTGCCTTCCATAACACTTATATACTCCTGTCGTCTTTTTGTTTTATAGGATGAGTTCATGAGAAGAAAGACACAACTTAGTTCTGAAAGAGGCTCTCCAAGCATACAATCTAATCAGGAAGAATTTAACATATGGTTAGATGTTATAGGTGGCAAGAACAAGAAGGGCCACATCTATGGATTTGGGTTTGAGGCTGATGATGATATTTGTACCTAGGGATCTTCTCCTTCCATTTACAGTACAAGTATGAATGCCAATGTTGAAACTGAATTGCACATGAGGATAACGGAGCTTACACAGGAGAATCAGCAAATCAAATAGGAGCATCAAGAGATGAGAGAAAATTATAACAAAATCATGTTTGCATTGAAAGGAATGGGAATTAAACTATCTGAGTCCTCTAGCAGCAATATAAATTTAGGAAATGATAGTTGACAGTTGTTATTATTATTTTTATCTTTTATTTCACACTTGACACTTGACATTTGAAGCATTTGGATGTGGGAAAGACTATATATATATATATATATATATCTTTTAATAGCATGTTTGATTTTTTAACAAATTCAATTATCTTTCGTTCCCTCTTAAAAATAAAAAAATGATTGATCAAATTAAAATAGCACAAAATAAAAACAAAAATAGCACAAAATGAAAAAAAAATTGGCAGGTAATTCCGTGGGCAAATCTTAGCTGATTAGCCACGGAATGTTCCGTCGCTAATTCCGTGGCTGATCAGTCACGGAATATTCCGTCGGTAATTTTTGACGGAAATTACCGACGGAATGCAATTCCGTCGCAAATCGATTGTCGGAAAATTTCGACGGAATGCATTCCGTCGGTAATTTTGTCCGTTTCCGTCGGTAATTCCGTGGGTAATTCCGTCAGTAAATCAGTGTTTTTTTGTAGTGCAATACGCGTACTCGGCCATCATCAATTGGAAATTTCTTTAGTGTGAGTGAGTGCGTGTGCCCCCTCTTGCGTTAGTTCAAATTTACATCAAAACTAAGCGGATTAGTTTGTTTTCCTGTGGCGTTGCTGGAATTTATTCTCCCCAATGGAAACTTCCGAGCCATGGACTCGGAAGTCAAAACATACCATATGTCTAAGTTTTATATCGATCTGGCAAGTGTTTAAATGAGCTTCATATATATATATATATATATTCAAAATATAATGCCGCAAGTGCAATTATGATTGTGATTTGCTTCCAAATTAATGATGCAAGCTGAGACTGATGACGAGCAGTGGTTAGGTTGCCTATAGTCGACGATGGACCACATTCGATGGCTTCGATTCGATGTTCTCGTAGTGGTAAATTTTAGTCACAGGAAGGGAATACACACACATTGCATTTGCACGTTTCCACGCAAAAGTCATATGATCTCTCAATGTATTGGATAATGCAATGTAATAATTATGATATCTGTCTTGTTGATGCGCTATTCTAATCATGATGAGCCGCAGCATCAATTAGAGTCAAAGTCTGGATATATTGTTCTTGATTCCTCACCAAAGCCTTAAGGAACGGGAGCTCTGCTCTTCAATCTTACGGGACATATTATATATTGAGGCGCGTCTATATATATGCAACTTTGCCTTTCGTAGGGACGTTTACCCCTCAATCCTTCATATACAGGATTACGGGGATGATACAGATTTATATGATCGGTTCTCATTTCCAATTAGGAGGATAATCGATCTCTGTTTATTAAAGTGATTAATTACAGGCTATTCCGTTCTCTTTGACCATGAAATGAAGCAAGTCCAAGACTAATCTGAAGGCTCTCTGTTTCTGGCGATACTACTGTCTTTAAACTTTGTTTGGATAATTTTTTGTTAAATTAAAAATGGCCTTGAATTATTATTTTTCGCCACCAACCTAAGCCTTTCATAGTCTAATGTAGTTTAAGTCCTCCCAGGAATAATAAATTAATAATCAAATCAAATCTGAACTGTTAAAAAAGAGGCATTCTTTCTCCTTTAAGTTTAACCAATTTAGTTTCACCCGCGCGCTGGATGGCCGGATGGGTTCATTCTTATGCATTCTTTCTTTATATATTTTCTTCAAAGAGGAATTTCTTTTTTCCGAAGTAAATAATAGGTCCGCTTGGCAGGGCTTTTATGGGCTGAAAAGTAGCTTATTTTTGCTACAAGCCTGATTATAATATTTCAGCTTGTTTGTTTGGGCTTAAATCCAAAAGGAGCTTATACATTTTAAGCTGACAAATGTACGATCGGGGAGAAGCTCGATTTTCTGGTTTATTAGATCACTTTAAGAGCTTATTTACTGTTGGATGTGTCGGGGGGTTATTTTTCTCTGGCTTGTTTTTGGCTTCCTGTTCATTACACGAGTAATTGGCTAATGGCACTGTCAAAGACCAAAAAGCTGACTGAAAAGCTCATTTTGTTTATCTTTTTTCAAATTATGTTTAGTTTTATAGTTGCAATATTTTTTTTTTCATTTTTTTATGCTTTCAAATTTAATTTACTCAATCAATTTCACTACTTCATATTAAATTAATTTAAATTCATTATATTATATTAATTCATTTTTTTATCATGTTTCACTTTATATTTTAAATATTTCTTATGATTTCTCCAAAGTTTTTTATTTTCATTCACTCATTAAATTTCACTTCTTCATGATATTATCTTAATTCTTTTTTTTCATCTTTCACTTTATATTTAAATATTTTTTATGATTTCTCTAAATTTTAAAATTTAATTCACTTATTAAATTTGACTTCTTCATATTAAATTATTTTAATTTCATTGTATTATGTGAAATTTTTTAAAATCATTTTTCATTATTTATTAAAACTCATACACATTTTGATCATTTTACAACTAAACTTACTTTTATTCAATCATAATCCAAACAACCTTTTATCAATCTTACTTTTGCAAACTAGCTTTTCTGAATCCCAATTCAAACACAATTCAGCTTGTTTAATTTAGCTTTTACCCAACTTTACTTATCCATAAGCTACTTTTTTAATAAACAGTTTTTCCAATCACTGATCCAAACAGAGCCAATGTAAAGTCTATACATTTATTTTTTAAAGCTTTCTAATTTTTACGTCAAACATATACATGGAAAACAATATTTATCTCATATATTATATAAATTGAATTGAAATAATCCCATAATACGGGGATACAAAGACAAACGGAATCCGAGAGGGAGAAAAGATCGAAACAGGTAAAAGGAATACATAATATTAGGCTAGCAAACTCCACATTTCCTTTGGTAAAGTTTTTGTAAAATTTAGAGACAAAAGAGAAAGAAGATTGATCGATCAGCATGGAGGGTGGAAAAAGGCCAGGCAACAACACCACACATGTACTTCGATTTTTACTCAGCGCGATTAATTCTCTCTCCTGATTCTACAAACATCTCACCGTACCAAAAACTCTGGACACCTTGAATTAACTTTTAGGAGAAAATCGTTCTCGCATATATACATAACATAGGTAAGAAGATATAAAATTGAATGCTTGTCAAAGTAATGCGACATGCTAACAACCAAGGAACAAAAAACCAGACCAAACACTAAACCGGTTGAGGTAGTGATTCAAGAGTCAGTTGGTCGGATCGAGGTCAACTCAAAGTCTAACTGGTCAAATTAAAATAATATAATTTAATTAAAAATAACAAAATATAACAACATTAACAATCACTAATAACAAAATATAAGAAAATATGACAATAATTTGATTGAAACAATCACAAAATATAATAATATTGGGAATTTTGATCTTTATGGTTCATCATTAATTAAAATTAATAATTATTGATACCAAAATTATCATTAAAATTTATTTAAATCTATAGGGACTAATATATTAGGAGCTGGATGAGAAAAAATAGAACTAATAACAACCTAATCATTCAAACCGGTTTATTACCGATTTAATTTAATATCCAAACCAAACCAGTTCATTGACCAGTTCACCAGTTAAACCGGCTTGTGCAAACCGGTTTTTTTGTTCACTGCTAACAACTGAAAATTAAAGGGATACATACAAGATACGACGTACAAATGAAAGACCAAATCAGGTCGGCCACTTGTTCCTCTATCAATTTCCTTGACACGTACCACATCTTTAGGGGTTAGTTCGAAGCTTTTGAAAACTCCTCATGGTTCTCAGCTTAGTATACACCGCATGCCATCCAGCATCTGAGGGATGAACCGAATCCCAAAAGAAAGCCGATCTGGGATTGTCACAGACGTTATATCTCTTCACGTTACTGTCGTCCACACTTGCACACGAATACAAACTGTTAACTCCGACGCAACATGGCTTGAAGAGTTGGTGAATATTATAGGTGGAGGGGTGGCTCAAAACTGACGTGAAACTAGCATAGAGATCGAGAACATGGAAGGTTGGGGAATGGTTGTGCTTGCGGGTGAGTCGATTGAGTCGTAAAATGTGTTGATTCAAGAGGCGGTTGTGGAGAGTTGAGAAGTTATTAAAGGTATCGTAACAGTGGGTGAATGAGAATAAGTCGGTGATGGCGGGAAGGCAACCCAATGGCCCCAGAGCAGTCACGACGATTCTCTTCACTCCCAACTCATGGATGCGCATCAGATTCAAACTCGTCTCATTCACTACTGACGCAATGAACGACGGTAAGGCCTAATAACGTTATCACAACCTCGTCAACAAGATCAAACAAAAAAGAACAGGATCTCATCTCCTTGTTATATTAGTAATTAAGAAGGTAAAGTGAGCTTACAAGAAAATAACTAAAATAAAGAAGAACTCCAAGAGATCAGTAAGAAATATCCATTTATTAATTCTCATTTTCTTCTTTCCTTGCTTCTTTTATTGAAACAATAATTGTCAATTCGTATCATGGAGATTTGAGTTAATGCAAAGGGTAGTTGTAGACTCATCTGTTGTTTTTCCGCACTTAAAATTGATGACATGACACGGAGGCAAACCTCAGTTCAGAAGATCCTCGCTTAAGGTGCAGGCGGGGCAAGAAGTGAAAAGGAACGCGCAGGCTTTCCATTGGGTCATACGAGCAGCATACACGTGCCACCCAACTGGACATTGCCCAGTGATATGAGGCCCAAATTCACAGTCATTCTGGCTAGGTGCGCGGCCCAAATAAGCCCAAAGTTATTTTTGTTTGGTTCGTCAAAAAATGAGTACAGCCTTTCACAATTTAGGGTCGCATTGGACGGAGGCGCGTAATGTTGGCCCCCGTCTCAATCCGTCCGGAAAAAGAAAATACAAAAGCCAGAAAATTATACCAAAAAAAAAAGCCAAAAAATTATTCCAGCAATTTTTTTTCCCACGGGAACACAGTTGTCGATTAATCACATTCGTAATTTACACGTCATTTGTTTACGGGAACTGCACTGTGATTAGAGGACGCCCCTTCACATGCCTCTCCATGTGTTGCCACCGCACAATGGATGTTTTTAATGTCCCTATAAAACTATTTCCTATATAAATTTAAAAAAGTGCATATATATCCAACGCCAAAAAATTAAGAAATCAATACTCTTAACAGTTTCTTTCTAGTCTTTTTTTTTTTTTAGTCATCTTTCATTCACAAAAGTAAAAACTACTTAAAATCATGCCTGAAGAGTCATCCCTACAGCCGCATATCATATGTATTATTTTATCTATCCATTTAATTTAATCATAAAAAATAATTAATTATAGTATTAAATAAAATATATTGTTTGTTCATGATGGAACATAAAATGGATTATAATCTCATGCAATTACATTTAATTAGTAATAAAATAAATGTGGAGCCATTAAAACCGATCGAAACGACAACCAAATGGCGGGGATTGTGTGTGAAGAGGCATAAAAGAAGAAAGTACACTGAGAGACTTTTTTTTTTTTTTTTACCAGCACACCCAGAGACTTTGATAGCGTCGCAGCGGAATATACTACATATGAAAATGGCGCATGGGGACCCGAGGAATGACAAAACGTTTTTTTCCAGGAAAAAAAAAGAATATTAGAAAAATATGAGATGAGGTGAGGAGGAAATTAAAGCAAAGAAATCCTTATCTGGAAAGAATAAATATAGGACTGAGAGGCGTAGAGAGAAGATATAAATACCTGAAAGGAGCCATTAGTGGCCACGTAATGGGCATAATCATTTCCAGCGAGGGAGACGAGGGCCATCGAGTTGGTGAGGTCGGCGCTGGTGAACACTTTATGTTTCATTAGCTGCTCCAAGTAATCAATCTGAGTGGAAACATTTGGCGCTCCATTATCTGTATCGAACACTCCCGCACCCCCAAAAGCAAAGTTCATTCCTTTCTCCGTATTCTTCTCCATCATCATCTTCCTCATTCTGTAGGCCACCGGCGCCTTCATCCCCAAGTACCTAGCTGGTCCACCCATATTCTCCTTTAATTATTTCATCCCACACATACACTACTGTATAATGGGACAGGCAAGTGAAAAATAGAGACATTCACGTCAAGTAGGTACCAACGTAGTCGGTCAGGACTCGGCCGTCGGAGAATCGACCGGCGGGTTTGCCCGGAAAGGTTGTTCCGTATGGGACTTTCCAGGCAGTTGAGTTCCCTTTCCTGGTATTGCCGGTATCGGCATATGAATCCCCGAAAACGAATAGACTGGTTGGGCGAAAGACATGCCTGTGGTGTTTCTCTTGCTCGTTCTGTCCAGCAGTTTGAGTTTGCTCTGTGATTTAAATGATATAGGAAAGAAAATGATCCGAGCCCTTGCAGCTATGTGTAGAATAATTGATGATCAATAAATACAGATTTAAAAAAAAAAAAAAAGGCCACAGAAGAGGGAGGGCTGTGGGTACCTGAGACCGAGACGGAGATGAACACAATAAGGAGGAGAGAGAGGAGGGACAAGTGGTAGTTGGGTGAGTCCATGAGCGATGAAGACGAGCGATGCAACTGCATTCACCTGAGGCAGCTGCAGAATTGGAGTTTGAGGCTACTTTTGGGGAGAAATTGGGTAATTATTTAGACTTGGGCAACTAATTTAATAAAGCGAATAAAATGCTTCGGTCAGCTTGGCTATGATGAGGCGATTGTGGAGGGAAATAGTAATCTTGAAAATTGCAAAACAGCGCATCAAATCCATAATATAAAGGGCCGACCTTTAAAACCAGTTAAGGACTTGCAAGATACGCGCTATTATTGTTATTTGGAGCTTAATGCTTCTTTTGTTGATTCTTTATGCAAATGAAGATGATATTGGAAGACTAAACCCGCTAGCCGGGTCAGTCACGGATAAAACGATTAATATTTTAAAACATTGGTCGAATTTGATTTGACTTGAGTTTTTTTTTTAATTTTGCCAACCTTTTGAGTTCTTTAAATAAAACATTAGTTTTGTAGGCCTAGTCATTTTTAAAATACAATAATTTAATTATTTATTATTTAATTTGATTAAAAATATGTCCTGAGAATCTTGAAAACATCTCTCTTAATTAGAATTTATATCAAATAATTTTAAAGAAATTGCCGCACCAATTCAATACTGCGATCATGACATATCATGTTTCTATTTTTCTAGGTATACAGCGCAAGCCGCAATGGTATGCGTCAGATTAGTGGACGGTTGAAATTTTCCAGCAAAGCAGGAGCATCATCCTGATGACTGATGATGAGCTGAGAATCCGTTTCCCTCTCTGAATGCGAATCAATCGTCTGATCCATAATTGCCGCGAACTAGATTTCACATTACATAAGTTCAGCACATGAAGCATGACAGGCAAATCACCCGTAAAACCAAAACCAGTTCCATTACCCAACCGCAATTCATTAAATACCCCTAAAAAACGGCCGACACAAGCTGGCTACCGACATAAACCTCGTTCAGTAGTGAAGCTGTCGAAGATCAGAGGTGTTTCGCAGTCTGTTATAGACGGCATGCCAGCCAGCTTGTGTGGGATGAACCGTGTCCCAGAAGAAAGATGCTCTGGGATCCTGGCAAACCCTATACTTCTTGACCTGCTTGTCGTCCACACTCCCACACGAATACTCACTGCTCACTCCAGCGCAACATGGCCTAAACGTCTTCTCCATCCTACTGCTATTTTGTCTTTTGGTGTCATTCAGTACTGACAAGAAACTCTCGTAAAGGTTAAGCATCACGAAGCTTGAATTCTTCTTGCTTTCTCCGTTCAACTTCTCTACTGCATCCAGTAAGCAGCTGTTATGAATCGAGACGAGTATGTTATAAGTATCGTTGCATGCTCTGTATGAGGATGAGGCTGTGATCTCAGGAACGCATCCAAGAGGTGGTAGGGAAGTCAATGCAATTTTCTTTACTCCCAACTTATGAATCCGTAGTATATTGACAGCCGTCTGATTCACCACTAGCCCAACAAAAGACGATATGCCCTGATATATATATATGAATGTACATTCAACGAGAAAGCAGAGAACCATCAGTGTAACCTCAGATTAAGCTTAACCGGCTTCGTAACTTCATCTTCATATATTGCGAGGAAAAGAGAAATTAAACCCACATTTGAGGCGAAGTAACTAAGCATATTGATATAACAATGGAAATTGGAGAAAAACGGGTCTTGCATGTATTGAATAATGGATGATACTAAACCCAGCTAGCTGAAAAGATCAAACTCTAATATTTAAATATATAATTCATACAATTAATACTTACATTGATGGAGCCATAGGTGGCCAAGAAGTTACTGTAATCATTCCCGGCGAGGGAGACGAGGGCAACGGAGTCGGCAAGGTCGGATTTGTTGAATACATTGTAATTGATGAGGCTTTCAAATTGTTCGATCTGGGTGGTCATGTTTGGCCCTGGAACTAAGGTATTGAAAACACCGGTTCCACCAAAAGCAAAGTTTATCCCATATTTGACATGATGTGGATGTTCTTTTAGCATTCCGTAAGGCAATGGCGATTTCAATTTCAGATACTTGGCTGCACCAATTATCAGCATGAGTTCGTTAATAACTCAGAAAACTACATAAGACCATCTGATTGATGTTGGTTAATCTGAGGCATAGATGATTCTGTTTCTTCGTCTGTGATTGTAATGATTGATAAACCAGTAAGGAGGACAGTCTTTGATAACTTTTACTGGGAAAAAACAGTATGCGTACAGATCCATTAAAAAGTTTATGGGGATAAGGGGAAAAAAAAAGACATTTTGAAGTCCCAAAATATTATAACTATAGATTCATACAATTATAAATAGGAATAGTTACAAATTGAGAGTTGTGTTTCTGCCATTGAAATGCTTAAAATTGTCATTCTCCCAAAATAAAAATATACCAAAAGCACGTTAGAATTCCTTGCAAGCGAGACAGTATACAAGGAGAATTGACCCCCTTCCCCCCTTGTGTAATAGTGCAATTTCTTGGAACACGAAATGTAGCAACGAGGACCAAAAAACCACAGGGAGTGCTAAAAGCAATGATTAATAGTATTAATAAAGAGAAAAGTGGCCAAAGCATGCTGTCACACGCAAGAAAGTAAAGGCCACACCATGGCACCATGCTGTTGAACAAATAATTCCAAGTGGCCAGAGAAAGATAGTGTAGAATACAGATGGGACACCATTATGAAGCAGCAGGCAAAAGGAAAAAAAGGAAAAAAAAAAAAAGGAAAGTTGAATCAGTCGAGTAATGAATAGTTTTTCAGGCAAAAGAGAGAACTAAAGAACGTCGGATAGAAAGTGAAAGAAGAAATATAGAGAAACGAAAAAAGCAAGCGCACACATACCGATGTAGTCGGTGATGACTCTTCCGTCGGAGAACCGACCGGCTGGTTTGCCCGGAAAGGTAGTTCCATAAGGCTCTTTCCAGACCTTAGATACTCCTCTTCGGATGTTTCCGGTGTCCGCGTAAGAGTCGCCAAAAACGAACAGTTTCTTTGGCGAAAATTTAAGGTGGCGAGTATGGAGACGAGCCTCCGGTTGCATAATCCATTGTTCTGTGATAACAGTATTGTCAGAACACTGATCAAGGTTAAAAAATGTGAACTTTGGATTAGTGGAGAAAACTACAAAACTAAAAAGGAGGAGAGAAGAGAGAATAAGAAGAGTGGGTATAAACCTGAGAGAAGCAGGATAAGGAAAACGGAGAGGAGAAACCATGGGTGCTTGTGCTGTGAGTGTGAGGCCATGGGTGAAGCAGGAATTGGGAAGGCTTTTGACCGCGAAGGAGAAAACGGCTTTGAGCAGAAGGGAAAGGCGGAGTCGCTAGAGTGAGGAGGTACGAGAGCCCCGGGAATGATGAATCAGGAATTGCCTGAATATATAAAGCCGGAAGACGACAAAGACCCAAAATCACCGTCATTTTTTTTAAATAAAGGAAAAATCATTTCAAATGTACATACATTTTTTTAAAAAAATATTGCGTAAGGATCTTAATTATTTCTTAATGATAATTCCTTCAGAAAAATTAATTAACAAAAATGCCCATGTTTAAATATCTTGCGGGTTTTTTTTCTGTGGAGGCAAGCATCTAGGACGCTGCATGTAATGACAAAACAAAAACCTCAAAATATTTTGAAGACGAGAAAGACATGAAAAATAAAGAAGAATGTTTCTAAAATGTTATGAAATGAGCCAATAAAGAAAATAAAGTAGGGAATTTTTTTTGTTTGTCTCTGAATAGAACAAAATGATATTTTTAAAGGACGCAAATCGATTTAAAAGACTCGTATTATATAATTAGTTGATTGTTATTTAATAAAGTTTTTTTAATATGAAGGAGAGAAATTTAGTAGGTGAAAAAATAATGCCTTATAGAAACAGTGGGAGTTCATAAAGTTGAAAGGGAAGAAAAAAAATGGACACCGTACTTATAATATTCATAACATAAAACAAGAAAGATTAATTATAGAACAAGAAAAGACTCACAAAATTTTAATAGGAGACAAATGTCTGGAACTTTTCAATTTGGAAGGAGAATGGAAGTAATATGAAAAATGAGAAATAATATTTATAAAATAATACCTTAAATTCTAATTATAAGACCTTATTTATAATTTATAGATAAGATTTTATAATTAATACAAGAGGTAATACCCAAAAAAGATTACCTGTAAGTTAGGGAAAATCACGCAAATTTTAATTTGTTTTGATATGGATCTCACTATACTTTGAATAATAAATAAATTATTAGAATCAAAAAGTAAGTGTCACATATCACACAATGTAATCGGTTCTCACTTGTTGTAAATTCCATTACATCTTAAATTAGGAAAATATTTAAATTAAAAATAAGAGTGATGTGGCATATGATCGATTGGATAGGCTTGGATCCCACTTTCCCTCTTCTTTCATGTCAAGTCACAAGTCTTTTTAAAAATAATTTTGAAAATTCACGTTTAAAGGTAATCTATTTAATGGAGCTGATCCTTATATACAGTATTTAAGAAATTTAACATCCTGATCCCAAACTACGTGGTCCTAATACCAAATTTGTCCTATTGTTTTCCCTGTAAGCGGGCGGGGATAGTCCTTGGGCAAGGATGAACAAAAAAGCAGACATTTATTACGGGGAAGACTAGCCATCTGTTTTCTTGACCACTATGATTGGTTTTTATTAGACAAGGGCTGTTAAACAGTAATCAGTGTCTAGTTATTGCAATAAAAAAAAAAAATACTCCACTCGTCCTATTTACGGGAAATAAAATATTTTTTATCCTATTTATAGATTATTGAAAGAATTTTTTTTGTATTGATATATAATTTTACCCTTCATTTATTATTGTATTGATTTTGTTTATATTAATGTAATATATATTAAATAGGGATAAAGTTAAAAAATTGTTGAACTTGAGAGTTAATGAAGTTTAAAGTTTTTATTGATCTGTATGAAATATGTTGAAAGTGACTTATAAATAGAATAGACGAGTAATATAATGTGTCAACCATTCCTACTTAATACACGTGGTAATTAACATGCTGAGTCCCACGGCTGAGAGGCATACCGATAAGGGGTTGGTTAGACACCTCATGCGTTGGAGTTGCTAAGCTCCTTGAGTGGAATTCTGACTGGATAATTTATAATCAGGTGGGGAAGTTGCCAGTTTAAGTAGTTTTATTATTTTGTTGGCAAAAAAAACTGGGTTTATTGTTTTGGGTTAGATATTCTTAAAAATGATTAGTGTAGATAAAAGTGTGTTAGTTTAATTTAACCGACGAGTTAATGATGGCAGAGTACTAGGATTATCTATAAGATTGTCTAGATCCCCATTCCACTCATGCATATGTGAGATTATATTCTGCAACTAGCTCTCTAGTCTTCACTCAATTTTGAGGATTCATAGTCTCTGCATAAAAAGCTTTTAATGTCTATCGTCATGTTTTTAATAAGCTTATTCTTATACTATCCCAGATATTTAATATAAGAATTAATTAACTAATTTGAGTAGATTAAAAAAATTATTTAAATTAGTTATTTACAGTAATAGATGTTGTCTTTACTAAAATACTTTTACTAATAATGTGTATCAGTTAGAATTATCATTTAATAAAACCTTTAATATGTGCATATTAGGACTACCTTAAAAAAATATGAGAAACAAAGTGGATTGTGGTCTTATATTTATGATCAAAATAAATTTTAAATTAACTCTTATATTAAGAAACATAAAGAGTATAATGTAATTTAGGAAATTACATCCGGCTTCTTTGAACTTTCTCAGCGATGAAAATGGCGTTTGGCTATTTTCATTTTCGTTAGAGGCAAAAGATCCATATTCCGGAATTTCACGCTATATTTTGAGTCAACGTTTTCAAGAATTAAATTTCACTGGTATAATAACCTCGCGGAGTATACTCCTATATTTGGAGACTTTTCAAGTTTCGTGTTTCAACTCCCAACTACATGTTATGTCTACTTTTTTAAGGCCACAACTCCCACCTACTTAAATTATTGTAGCAATAAAATTTTTCCCACTCCATTACTATTTCGTCGCTTATTATAATATCTTTTTAACTAAATTATGCTGTTTAAGAAAATAATTAAAATTAGTTAAAAGCAATTAATATGTAGTAAATATAATTTTTTTCAAATATACCCCTAAATATAAATGGGTAGATGTGAGGGAATAACAGTGAGATAAATAAAGAAAGAGAATATATTAAATGTATTAAACTAGAAATAAAATAGATAATAATACATTAAATGTTCAAATAAACTCAAAAAGAATCTTATAAAAAAAGACAAACCTATTTAAAAAAATAAACCTTATAATAAAAAACGGAGGGAGTATTACACAGACATGGTTCTTCCCAGTCCCCTCCTGCTTCCCTTCTCTTTTCCCCGCCGACATATGCTTATTAGAGCAACATGATACTAGTGATTTCAAGCTGGTTAACTATCAATCTTTTTTAAATACTCTCACGTGTCCTATTTAATTGTAAAAATATTTTTAATTGGATCATAGGCATTAAAAAAGCAGTTAAAATTAATTAAATGCTTTGATTTCTTTAAAAGTTGCTATTATCATTCATAAGTAATTAAAACTGTTAATTTCTATTTGTGAAATTTAAACTCAAACATGCCACCAACGAGTGAATCAGGTACGTGAATATTTTTAAAAATAATTTACAAATACTGCTTCCCTAAATTTTGTACTGTTGTGTCTTACTATATTAAACACCAAACAAAACTTTTAAGAGATGTTTTATTTGAAAGGCCACAGGAATTGCAATTCAAGTCAATACTGAAAAACCATGGCCGACGACAACTGAATTTTATGCATATTTATGTGAACGATATAACCGTTGCAACAGATTAGTTGCCCACTAAGAAATTATCATTTATCGGTAAACAAATAATGTTTTGCCCGTTTCGAGTTTTCTTTTGTCTCATCCTTTCGTTTGTGGGGAGAATACTAAATTTAAATAAAGAATTTCTAAAAAATGTGTTGTTATTTTCAAATCTAATATTTTAAAAACTTATTAAAATACTGTTATCAAATTTGGTTGAAATTTAATAATTTTAAGCTTCTTTTTGTGGATATTCTATTTTTTACTGGTTTGTTTTTTGGCGCGGCCTGCTATTTTATTTTATCTTTTCAATCCCTGCTAAAAGAATAAGCTAGCTCTGCATTGACATATGCACGCTGCAAAGTATAAAACTTGCAAAAGGACCATATTTCACAGAGACGTCCCAAACGTAAAAAACAAGAAACCAAACAAATCTACACAGTCCTAAGTTCTGGAATTACACATGATATTGATATGTTTCGCGAGAAATGGGATGTACTCAATTCTCGCAGCTCAGCTTCACTTCTCATCAACCATCTGCAGTTATTTACATAAAAAGTACTCCAACCTACGTACAAACGCAAGTACAGCCATGTTACCTCGTACAGCTTCATGTAACATTCTCCGGTGGGAAATAACGATCGAGACTACTCTGCTCTGTTATCTCATCGGTTGCTGAAAGGACTGATCTTGATGACTAATCCTGGGAAAACATCATCTGGGTCATGAATGTGAGGATTCTCTTCGACTATATAAGGATCCCCACACTTCTCACTTATGGTTTGAAGTGTCTCTCCCACACGAACCACATATATCTCATCACACCCCTTCTTCATCACATTCTCCGGTATCACCTCAATATTCCCGAACTCGCTTGTTCCTGACTCGCAGCAGCTCAATACCAGCATGACTGCCAGAAACAGAGCACAGTACCAAGATATCTTCTCTGCCATTACGGTTGAAGAACACCCACAAGCCATGTCTACTGGCTAACTTGTCGGAAACTAATGGAATTCTTCTTACGATTCTTAATTTCTTGCCTTCTGTCTGTTTTTATAGGGGTTTCGTAAGCGAGAAATGGAGGGAGAAACCTATCCATGGTTGGTGGAGTGGGTAAAGATATAGGAGGGAGTTGAAATGGATCTCTCAGTGAAGTAGGTAAGTGTCGAGTGCTTGAAGGGGATGACCTATAAATAAAAATGGGAAAGAGTTGGTTTAACTGCTTTATTAAATGAGATTGCTTTTGGCTTTCCACCTGGTTCCTATTTGATTCAAGTTTTTCCTTTCACGGTGAAGGTGCTTCATCTGGTGCTGTGTATGTTCCTGTAGTATTAGTTTCGGTGCTCGTCACTTTTAAGTTCATCAGATCTAAATTATTCATATTTTATTTAGACAGTTCATATTTAATTTTTTTATTTTTATTTATTTAAAATAGTTATTTTAATATGTATAGAATCTAAAATAGAGATAATCTCTTAACTATTATTCTTTCAAAAAATAATTTTTTCTACTTAAAAATAATTAATTAAAAACTTTAAATTTGGATAAGTATAAATGCTAATCAAAATGATGAGTCTTGAAATCGGTTCCGTGTTCCTGTCGAGCAATGACGATCCATGAAGAAGCAATGAGGAGAATCAGGGAATGTCAGATTGTAGGTTACCTAGAAAAAGCGACGAATTAGCACAGAATCTAGCGTTGGCTTGGGAAGGCATAATTAATGCGGGGTTGGTCCTGCCGAAATGGCCGATGAGGGAGTAAATGCGAGCTTGATTTATACCACGATCACCCACTCCTTCCTTCAAACTAACACAAAGATATGAATTGATCAGAAAAGTTTTATTACTAAAAAATTGTTTGTGAATACGTATACGAGTGCCTAAGATCCCATTTTTCAAAATTTTTTAAGGTTCGGTCTTGCATAAAAAAAATTAATTACGACTATGCAAATATAATTGAATGATATAATAATAATGAAGACGCGAGAAAACTGGGGTGTGCGTGTCTGTGTTGTTTTTCCTATTAACGGCTAAGAATGTGATAACTGATACGAATTAAATTATCATTCATGAGCTTTTAAGGGCGAACTAAATGGCGGGGAGATATTTTGAGACCCTTCATTGTAATATAAAATTCAGGTTTTTGGTTTTTTTGAATTAGAAATAATGATAAGGAATGATGCCATTACAAGTACATTTTTTTCATTAACTCTTTTGGATCACGTTTTAATTATAAAAATAGTATTGACTACTCCAATACTTAATGAGATCACCTTCACCCACTTCACTGCAAGCAAAGGTAGCAAGTCATTAAATTTATTTTTTAAAAACAATTTTTTCAAATTTACTATTGGAATCATAAATTATATTTCCATAAGTGAAAAAAAAGAGAATTGCATGAAATTTTAAATACAGACAATCATAGAAATATATAATTAACATCCTACCAAGAAACTTATAAATATAGTCATTCTTTTTAAAAAGCGATTTATAACTGGGACGTTTTGATTCTGCTTCGTTAGTTGATATTTCATTTAGTTCCTTGGTAATTTTTTTGGCTCGGGTAATCCTTTGGTAAATTGCCACATTAAATTAAATACTCCTACACTTAACAATAACTGGTATAATACTACTTTTTATTTTTGCACTAGAGAAACAAAAAGACTATCAGCCATGCAAGGCCTAACGGGCAAAATGGAGGGGGTGCAGCCGGGAGTCAGCACCGGCAGGAAGACTGTGTCTGGTGTCCACCATCATATGGGCGTGCCTGGCTAAAACATTTGGGTATGAAGAAACTCGATCAACGAATAATATCAGAGGACCTTATAGTGGAGAGTGAGCCTTCCATTGTTTTATGGCTGTCAAGCGAACAACAAAGTATTGTTGGGTGTGTCAATAAATTCAAAATCTAAGAACCCCCCAAGTTGCTGAAGAAGGTCAATCAGAGTATAAAATGTGAGATATTTATTATTATTATAACTATTTAGATATTATGAGGATATTTAATAAATATCCTGAGTGTTGTCCATAGTCATTTTAAGCCCAGTTCAAAGTGGGTAATTGGTTCAGTTAATTAAAGTTAATTTTCTGATGGTGAAAAATAGCATACGGTATCTTGAATCTAGAGCGAAATCCTAATCTCCTCTCTGCTCACTCTCTGAGGTTTCCCACTGGTGACGGCTACATTCCACTTGCCATCATTGTGCCCAATTACCAGCTGAAAAATTCTCTGTATTGTTTTCTCCAACGGTGTTCTTGGATTCACAACTCTTTATCATTCAGATTAAGTTCTACATCAAATTAATTGAGCTAATGATAAAAAGTATTTATAAGTTTTCTGCTGTAACTCTTTCAAGTATCATATACATATATAATCTGGATTGATTAAATAATATATATGTGTGTGTTGTTTTGCTTACGTAAAGGTCATATTCTTTTCCCAAGACCGTGAGAACTAAGGCGACGTTCCTGTGGCGTCATTGGGACTTCAGGGTGGAGTCCTTTGAGTTTCTTGATTTCCTCAGAGGCCTCGGGCATTTCCCACAAAATCTCTTTCTCATCAGAAAGTAGGTCGTCGATTTCCATGCTGGACCCATTGTATACAAGTAGCTAGTGAGTCACAGTATGATGTTTGCTGAGGGTAGCGGCTTGAGGATGTTCATGGTTATGAACACCGGCCGTCATGGCTGGTTCTCTTGAGTTGCCTCTTCTGCACGTTTCTTTCCAGACTCGTGGGTGGCTCTCTATGATACGGGCTGGGCGAGATTCAATCTTTTCCCTTTTCTTCCGATCATCGGAGGCCAGGAAACAGCAGATCACGCGTGCGCGAGTTTCAAGAGAGAGAAAAGCAAACCCACTCAAAGCCACCGTAGACTAGCCGGCGCAACATTCCATGCCACTCTGGGCCTTTGCTAATAACTAGCATAATAAAACTGATGTATGCGGATGACATCTTCTGATTGAAGCAAGAATCTTCGAATCACCTGTGAGTGATATGGCAATATCTCCGTAATTGAAGACAAGCGGGTTTATTAATAACTTCTTAGCTGAAGGGGCATCTATCTTTTGACCACAAAAAAAAAGAAAAATAGAAGGGGCATCTATCTATGCTTTAGAGCCAGAAGCTTTCATTAAGATGAAATTGCTCGCACAGCGAATCCATATTCTTCTCTTGTCTATCTGGACAGCAAAAGTTGATGATGAAATGGCATGGCAGAGAAACGGTTAATTATGGAGATGGTCATCAGAGTGAGGCTGCAAATTATTGCAGCTCATGGGCAATGAAACATCACGTCCATTTGGTCGGGGCTATTACTTGCATAACACAACTAACAAATCTGTCAAAGATTATTTAATGCATTGGTTCTGATTGCCACTGCCTGTGTCGTGAATTGTTGAGTTGAAGTGTTGTGACGAATTGTATCCACTTAGTGACTCCTGTATAGGTTGGACTAAAGAACTATTGAGAGGAAAATAAAAATATTATTTTGCCGAGTTTACTTTCATTTCCCCACTTTCAACGTTAACCAAATCAAACCTACAAAGTAAATAAAACACATCTATTGAATCCCTCCGAAGTCTGAACTATTATGTACACTCTGTCAGCATCATTAGCTGCACAGTTGGGGCGTATGCTACCACACGACTTTAATACTCTCTCCGTTTCTTATTATAAGAGATAAATAACCAAATTACATTAATAAAAAAATAATTAAATTAGTTGAGGACAATTAATATGTAAAAAGTATAATGTTTTTTCCAACAATGCCCCATTAATAAGGAAAGAGAGTATGAGAAAGAACAATTAAATTATTAAAAGAAAGAGAAGTAGGAGGGAGAGAGAGTATGAGTTGGAAACAAAATAATAGAGGTAAAATAGGAAATCAATACAAAAAAATAGAGACAACTTTTAAGTGTCTTTTATATATGGGAACATGCTATAAGCATCAAATGTCTCTTATAATAAAGAATGAAGGGAGTACTTTGGTTATCTAAACTCAAACCCACAATGAAATAGTGGCATCAACTTGGTTATTCACGTTCGGTCACTTTACTATCTCTGTTTTCAAAAACAATGGCGCAAAATTAGAATAAAAGCGACTACTGGGAATTAAGTGAACATCAACTACCTTAATGATGGAAGTTTACTTATCTGAACACCCGATTTCTCTAGGCCGATTGGAACGCCAGAACAGAGAAGGAGGAAATTAGGAGTTAGCGAAAAAGTGAGAACTTGAGAGGAATTCGCGTTCGCTAAAAGTCAAGGATTAATGCGAGGTAATAAGCGTTGAGACTGAAAATTTAAATATTATAAAAAGGAAAAGAATGACTGCTCACTCTAGTAAAAGTAAAGCCGTATGAAGAGGCAACATTTCGACAATACATGAGATTGAAGCATGATCTGCCAGGATCGGAGAATGATATCGACAAAGAACCCTCGATTGCCTATGTCAAGGTTGAAATTGAGTGCAATAAAGATAATATTCGGTTTGATAACATTTCCAACTTCCAAGTGAGGAGGGTGCTCAACTATGCCCCTATTATTGACATCTGTCGAAGAAAAGATGTCTGAACTTCAGGGTTTCATTAATGTCTCCTTGACGTGCTTAATGACCCCATCGACATCCACCGTCCAAGCAACCGAAACAGGGGAAAACCCCGTCCATGGATTGGTCGAATTCCATCTATATGAAATGAAAACCACAATGCACTGAACATTAATTAAACATGAAGCACCAAAACTAAAGTGAAGGAGCATATCAATCCATTCTTTGGGTAGGCAAAAAGAAAAAAATCCATTGTTTGGACTTACTTCTTTAACCCTTGGTCCATTAGCGTATGCCCGATACAGAGGCCTTGTGTCTCTACCCTCACTACCCCTCGCTTGTAAGTAAAAAGCTCTGGACGAACAAGTGCTACGAAACTGACAGGGTCGTGAAGGAAAATTCCTGAGAGCAGATATCATATCATTCCAAAGGCAAGTTGACAGCGAAGTAAACAATTAAAGAAAAATGCTTTAAAACAGAGTGATTTTAGACTTCAAAATAGCATGTCGTATTACCATAGACACCATCAGATTTAACGTGCCAATCCCGGTAAAAGTTGCACATCTCACTTATGAGTTGTGCATGCTTTCCTCCCGAACTTTTCAATTGAAGGAGGTCAGCATCTGAAATCAAAAGACAATATTCAGTACCTCACAATTACAGCAAACCCAATCGACCAATAGAAGTATCCTAGAAATTAGAGAAAAACAAGAAATTGCAATCCCACAGTTAATATCACTTGGGTTGTAATATTTATTCCAACAACAACAATATTGGCGCCAGAAGTAAACACAATATCTGCTGCTTCTGGGTCTCCGTAGATCTGCAAAATAAAAGAAATGAAGTCAATAGGACCAACTGAATATTAAATCTGATCATGAAGCATAACGTAACACATGACCTATATACTGCAACGATTACAAACTTCGCAGAAAATTTTCTTTGTAGTCTAGAGCCTGTTGTGAAGCATGTTCTTGATTTTGAAAACCAAAAAAAGGGAAAATGAAAGTGTGATTTTCTCTCCAAAGTGGAGGTTGTTTCGCTTTTGACCATTTTAACTTTAAAACATATAATTCTTCCAGAACTTAAAGGAAAATCCTGAAGCCCCTTAGTCCTTATCTGTCTCCTGTCAAAATCAAAGGCATGAAACCACCACTACATTTGCTTCTGCAGCTGGATTTACATTCCCCAAGGCAAAGAAAGCACCACCGAGTATAACCACTCTCTTCACCTTTCTAGCAAAAGAAGAATCTCTTCTGATGGCCTAATCACGAAGATTAAACTATCAGAACATATGCGTATGCAAATGCAAATTAAAAAAAAAGAAGGGATGATTGACCATGACCATGAATAACAAGAAAGCATGGTAGCGCTTACCAAGGCTAAATTTGTAAGTGGTCCAGTGCTAACACAGACACTTCACCAGGGTATTCAGAAACCTTCTCCACCAAAAACTCCGAAGCACTTTTATCTATTTTCTTAGCTGTTGGATGGGGTAGGGATATGTTTCCAAGTCCATCAGAGCCATGAATAAAGTCAGCAACTCGTGGAATTCCACCCTTTCAAAGAATAAAGCATACTTGAGACTCGAAAGATGAAGCAAAAACAAAGAAAAAAGAACATAAAACCATTATTTAAAACATGTAAAGTCATGTACAGTGCCATGTGGACGAAAGATGAGGCTGGCAAGCAGTGTAAGGTAAATATTTAAAGGGTTGAACAGCATTTTCGCCTTTAAATTATACTGGCAGGAGCATTGGGTATTCTAAATTATCAAGTGGTGCAATGTTACTCTCAAATTTAAAAAAATGTTGCAATGTCGCTCCTACCATTAAAAAGGAGCAAGCATCCATTAACTCTGTATTGTGGGGACCACATACAAATCTATGCTTAACGGACGTCTACTATCTCTAACAGGAAGGGCAACATAGCATTTTTTTTTTTTTTTAAGAGTTTGGGGGTAACAGTGCACCCCTTCATAGTTTAGGTTAGGATATCCAGTGTTCCAATGAGAATAGTTTAAGGGCACAAGTACCTTTTAGGCCAACATTTAAATAAACCTAACTGAGTTGAGACACTCAAGTCAACTTCAAAGGTGCATATTAAAGAACACCTTCAATGGCTCATGGCTGCCCTCTGCCACTGGAACATTTTGA